CAACAGTGTAGGGATGAGCACGACAGTGCAGGTGAGCATGAAGGATGGACAAGCTTCGAGGATTTTGGATTGGAAACACAACAAAACACTAACACTCAGGGATTTGGAAATAGTCAGACGCCCGCTAATATCGATGATTCGTTTTTAGATCGAATCAATGAATTGTCAAACGAATTCAATCAAAAGCACCAGTGTGACCAAGAAGAACAACAACGTCGTCTATCATTTTATTTTTAGATCGTATGTTACTAATTTTATGCGTTATTGTAGTCCATGTATGTTGATATACTTATTCCATGATAATTCTATGTTTATCCTTTTGTATGATGTAAATTAAATGTTGAATGACGGTTCATGCAGAGAAAGAACATATCAATATTCGCATATTCATTCAAAAACATGAAAATTCTTAATGGAGTACCCTCATTTCTTATTGAATTCCTAAAAAACAATATTTATAATGAATTTTAATAATTTTTTCAGATTTTTTTGAAGCTTTATTCTGACCGATTCACCCGATTCCCGATCCGGATCGCCGATTCGCCGATTCGAATCGGTTTTTTGAAAGCCCGATTTGGGTCACCGATCCGGTTTTTAAACCATTGGGTTCCACTCTTACAAAGCTCACTCCAAAATCCCATAACTTTGTTGCAACTATTCACTCGTAATAAATTCCCAGCTTATATTCTGACACATCTCATAAAATTTCTGGGCAGCAAGTAACCAACAAAGTGATTGATGCTCTTCACAAACATCATATTCGTAATTACATATTTTAATCTTAGAACCATGCTGATTTAAGTGGGTCTTCACCTTCAAGATCCAAGCAGATGGTACCATTGAGAGGCATATGTAACTTGTCACCCAAGGAAAATAACAGGAAAATCAGATTAGGATGAGCAGACCCCTTGAATAACTGCAAAGTTAACCATCATTTGGACTCGATGCTGTGAAGAGGTGAGTATTTCAAATTGATGCAAACAATACCCATATAGGTTTCTATTCCCATCAACTATAGGTTATTGCGACAATTTGAATTAATCACCTCTTCACAGCGTTGAGTCCAAATGATGGTTAACTTTGCAGCTATTCAAACTCTTATTCAGTAGCTTATTCAGGAGACGGTCATGCATATAACTTCCATTCTGTTACTCTAATGACATTGGTGCTTTATGAAACCCTCCATTCCAAATATTCATGAGAATAACAAGAAACTTTGAAGTTAGTTTCCGTCTAAAAGAAGATTAAACATTGACTAATCACTCTTGTGATGTCAATACAGTCCATTAGCCAGCCGATTCATGTAAGAGGGAGGACATGACATCCAAGAGCCAATTGTTACTACAAAATACTTGTTACCTTGGTGCTAAATAAGTAGACTCCCTCACATAGTCAAATTGTCATCTTAGACCAGATAGGAGAGTACTAAGAAAGCCTAGTGCCAGCAGTCCCAATTACCAAGTAATCATTGGACCAGATTTGGCCCGTGTAGTTGGGGTTTTGAACTAGCTTGTGTGAGCTCGTAGGAGGCAGTGATATGACCTTGAGATACAAGAAAGGTAACCCTTTTCTCGGAATGGCCATATACAATATTTCTAGTATAAAAGGCACAAATATCTTGGGAATTGTCATAAGTTCATAAATCATAACAAGATCTGCATATGCAGACACACCAAGACAGGTAAAGTGTCCTTGTATGATACTGCCAAACATTGACACTCTTGGGATGTAATAGAAATGGTGGAGATGCAAAGGACACTAATAGATAACGTTTTCATACGGTAATATATTATGTCCAGACTGTATGATATGTGGAGTATGTATGGTAGGGACTCTACTGTAATATTCGTGTTTGTTCAATGCATTATTTTTAACCCAAGGTAGCAGGGGCATTTTAGAAATCTGCAAGAATACACAAATTAGTGAAAGACTTTGTGGAACCCTATGCTTCCACATTCTCCAATTTCTTACGTATTTTTATTCCCAATCTACTGACTTTGCTTAACCCACAATAAATAATTTCCCAACTCTGGGAACCAATAGCAGGTCCTAAGTGGAGGGGTGCTAAACTGTCAATGTTATCACAATTATCTCAGAAAAATAAGATTACACAATTCAGTAAACTTAAATCGCAATTATTGGCATTTTCCTTGGATAGGGAAACAACTCTTACCAGCCAGAATCTGTTGATGGTTACAGCTCAAATGCTCAGGGACTCAACGCCAATATTGAGCCCAACGATGAATAGTTTCAACCATTTGAGGGAACAAAGCACTAACACTATCATTGATAACTTCTTGAAAGAAATGCACAGAGGCTTCATCATCCAAGTCTAACCGAAACTTCTCTTGTAGCTGTCATGAAAAAATCAACCAGTTCTTAAAAATATCATCAAAGTTTGAAGATACCATACCCAAATAAAAAAAGGACGTAGCATACAGAACAAACCAACCTTGAGAATGCCCTTCTCAGGGTCCGAAGCAATGTCAGGAATATTGGAACCCGCCATTAAGTGGAACAAATTTAGAATAAGGTTGCTCGATTTTCTAAGAATGTTGTATGCTTCACAGCAGTAGGATTTGAATCTGGTATAGTATGGGCTGCACTCAAGATAAAAAAGCAACAGAATCTATAGTAGTTACATAGGTGAGTTAAGCACATCACAACAGTTTAAATAGATGAAATTAACAGGGACCAACTAGAGAGGTTCCAAAATGCATGATTGGTATCAAATATCATAATCATGCCTTAAACTATAGATACTATATTGTCAAGCTATAGTTAAGGGTGAAAATGCGTTGCAAGAACGTAAGGAAACCCTATCCCTAGAGAGAATGTAGGACAGATGACCTTTAAAGAGAAGGATTTTAGAGAACTTAAATAGATTCCGAGTTGGACACTTGTTCCAAGAATTGTCTCTTCGTATATGATCTAACTGTGAAAAGTTGTACCTATTGGCAGGTGTCTCTACTTGGGAAGTGTCATGTCTATTAAGTATTTTTTGTGCTAGTGTTTTATGAAGCTGTTTAACATTATTTTTTATGTAGAGGTGTGACTCTTGAAATAAATTGCAACCCAAGGACCATCTGATGTGTTTTCATTGATCATCTGCCAGGCACAAAGGGGTACAAGTACTATTACTCTTTTACATGGAGAGAAGTGATGCGATGCTCGATGAGGAGAAGTCAAAATGTTCAAAAGAAACAACATTTTATAAGCGATTGGGAGAAGCACCACCGCAAAGCCGGATAGCATTTCTCAGTCCTCCATTTCTCTCTTCTAGAATCTAGATCAGTAAATACCTTCCACAACAGAAAAGGCTCCCAAAATCCACATTTAGATCAGTGACTCAGGTTTCAATTGATACAAAACCCAACATCTCTAAGTGGTAGTCAGTGAAATAGCTCAGACATCATAGGTGCGGTGCTACAGTTTTCTAGCTCAAAAACGCCAACTACAGTTCCATAATTCCATATTTAACAATATACCAAGTTCTTCATATGAACAAAAATGTGACCACAAGCATGCCTATGTTGGGGTTTTGTGGCCTTTAAAGACCGTGAGAGCATGTAAAACTCAATTATAGTGGATTATACAATTTAGCGGCAGTGTTTGTGTTGGTCGACTGACCGAGGGTTAGGCAATTAATGGCCCTAGTTATGTCCAAAACCCTTCACTTTGAGTATGGGCATATGGCAATAAACAAGTGTCATCCCTTGTTGAGGTTGGAGAGATGCCAATGAATGATTTGTAAACTAGGAGAGCTTTGTAATCTCTTATGAGCGGATGTAGATCTGTGAAAGCAATGGCTAAATCTTCAACAAACTTCTGCACAATATAAACACATGACAGCTGCATTACCGAGAAGCAACCTGAAAAAAGACACATGTACATGTGCATAGAGAGAGACCCCTTAAACTATAGTGATATATGCATGTTACTTGCTCTTAAGGGAGGAACCTGTAATTCACACATTCTAGGATTATGGTTCTACTATTTATTATCCAGTTTTGATGAGCCAATCAAGAGACCCTACATGAGACTGTATGTCATATGTCGCATTGGGTTGGATTGAAAAGATAGTCGAGAGGATCACGGTCACTTATCTTGACCCATTGGTACCAATCCACTTCTAGATATTTTATTTTTGGCATAATAAATATTTTTGTGAATTTTAAATTTTTTTTCAAAATTCTTAAAATTAATTACAGCTGTAAAATTCTTAGAAAGGGTGTTTCTAAATTATGGTAGTGTAGACGGGCACGTATGGGACCTTGGATCCACCACTACATATGTGCCACACCACATGGGTGGGGCGTGAGACCCATGGGACCCACACCTCACATATGAGGTGGTACACCACAACTCTTCTTTATTTTTATGCTCTATATTTGGAAACATGTTTTAATTTGGTTGGTTAGAAAAGCCTTTTGTAAAGGATTTTATGTCCTTATTATGTAGGTCGATAATCCATGAAAATAGAGGATTCAAGAAGATGTTACATATAGAATTAGAGCTGATCGGACGAAATGGAGATGCTCTTCTAGAGTTTTATGTGATCGTCACATACTAATGAAACTGAAGGGGTATTTCTATAGGCGCGTTGCAACACCAGCCATGCCTTGTGGGGCGATATGTTGGGTAGTCAAGAAATAACAAATCTATAGAATGAGTGAAGCTGAGATGAGGGTGTCAAGATGGATTTCGAAACAATAGATTTTGAAATAAATACAACCAAAGGAACTTAAGGGTGGCTCCAATAAGCAATAAGATGAGGGAAAGTAGACTTAGGTGCGCTAGGCCATGTGTAACCTCAACCTAGAACAACATAAATTAGGAGGGCGATTTGGTTCAAGTACAATGCCCTAAAAGGTCAAAAGGTGGGTCCAAAAGGATCATGGATGGAAGTAATGTGAAGAGATATCATGACTTATAGTCTGATTGGGGGTATGGCCCTTGATAGAATAGAATGGCAAAATAAAACTCATGTAGCCGACCCCAAATAGTTGGCATAAGGCTTGGATGATGATGATGATGGTGATGGTGATGGTGATTTTCTAGGAATTGGCTACTTGAAATAGTGTTTTGTATCTTTGACCAAATATCTTATTTTGATTTCCTACGATTTCATGAGATATAAAGGACATTCTACAAATATTATTTTAGATTGGTCTTATCCTAGTTTTGACTACAAGTTTGATATATGTCAAAGATTCAAGGGATAAGATTCTTAGAATTCCCCCCTAAATCATGAATGATGATTCATGGGATGGAGGGCTTAGATTTAATCATCTCTCACCTAACAGATTTCCTAAAATCCTATTAGTCATGGAGAGTCATAATTATGGATAGGCATACCTGAGAGGGCATTCGGGCCTATAACTAAGGGGCGCCCTCTAATTCTCGACACCTTATTTTCTACCCTCTCTCTCTCTCTCTTGATTCTCTTCTCTACGCCCTACTCTCTCTTTCCTCTCTTGTTCTCCCTTCTCTCCCTATGTGGCACACCACCCCTTAAGACTCTAGGGGTGGCATGCCTAGTTCTAGTTTAGATCAAGGGGAGATGCCACATAGTGCATGCCTCAAAGGTTCATAAAAGGGTCTACAAAACACTAATTGTGCTATGCTCTCATAAAAACCCTAGTTTGTGAGGTATTGCCTAAAGAAGCTTCTTGGCTCAAAAAATTAAGCAGGTCCAATAGGATCAGAATGAGCCATCAGTCAGGAAATCAAGTGTGGGGTATAAAGTCCTAAAGGTGATCCTAGGCATATTTGAGGACGTCTTCCCAGCTGTTTGCTTTTATTTTTCAGTCATCTTTGTTAATTTATTTGAATTTTCAGGAGCATTATTTGTACTTAAAAAGCTAGGGGAAGCTTATTTTTCATTCATAGATTGCATCTATTCATAAATCCTAGGTTGTGTTTAGGGTTTTCTTTCTTGTTTACTGCAGTGTATTTTGGAACTTTTGAGTGGAACTCATATTCATTAATAAAAGAGAAAGAGAATTTTTTATTTTCCTCCCTTGAATTCCACGTAGTCAATTCTTTCCGCCTAGTTGACCAACAATATGTTCCTAAACAAGTCCACCAGCTAGATTAATTTTTTGCAGAGAGGTACCTTTTACAAATGCAACACAAATTGAAGTATTGAATAGCCACCAAGGTAAAAATTCTGTTGCATAGCCGTTTTCTAGTTTATGACTAAATCAGTAGCTGGTAAGTAGCAAAAGAATGTTTCACTAAAATAAGATACATACTGAATTGTAAACATCCATCCTAGAGTTGTATTGTAAGGTTAGCCACAAAACATACAGCAGAAAAAGATGATTATACCTTTCTGCACCACCCATGGCTTCAACCATTTCTTTGCACAGTTTCATAGGTGGTGGAAACGGCTTTGGATCTCGACCAAGAATATAAGCAAAATCAACATGGAAGAGCCGCCCATCTTCCCTAAGAAGAAGATTATCAAGATGCCTACAAGAGAAAAAGCTGCACATTATCAGTACTTGCCGTGCAAAGTTTTGTTTTTTGAAATGGTTGAGTACGTGCAGTCAACGTTCCAGGTACCTTTTGCTATGCGACTAAATCGAGATAAATGTAGTTTTTCTTGAAGATGGTGGCAATATATTACTAAATTAGATAGATTACAAGAAATTTTCTTGAGAAGTGAGACAGAGGCAGCCCACAAACCAGGCGCTCTTACACAAAAAATGTTTCATATGAAGGAGAAGAATCAAAAGGGAAAGGTGTTTGCTGGAGAGGAGAGAAAGAAGAGGAGGAGGGCAGGGGTAAGAAGGGGGTGAAGAAATTAGGCCATTTAGGGTACAAGCAAGATAGGAAGTGGGTGAAGAGTTTAGGATCTGAAAAAGAAAGTGGGAGGAGAGATTAAGAGAGAGAAAGGAAGGGATTGAGGTCACCAGCAAGGAGGTAGCCCAACTTGCCAGTTGCGCTATACAAAAATATCCAAGTATAAAACAAGAAATCCAAAAAGAGAGAGGTAAGGAACTCATTGGGATAAAAGAACTTGTTAACAATCTAGAAAGCATCCAACTGAGAAGACAACACGAATAAGCAATATGGCACTCAAAACAACCACCTAGAGGCAAACAAAACATGGATATTATGACCCCCTCAAAAAGTAAATGATGAACCTGTAAAACTGGAGATAACACTACTGAACTGATTAATATCATTCGCTAGATTTAGAATGGAGTATATCAACAGTTCATTCTAATGAGAACTTTGGTTGCACACCACAAGGCAATATTTAAACCATAATGAAGCATAAAATCACCACAATTTCTGTATATCATTGTTAGCAGAATAAGTAGTCAACCATAAACTGAAGGTAGAAAAAAGAAAAAAGGGAAAACTTGACTAAGACACCATGACAAAGGACTGGCATATGACAAGAAAGATGGCCTAACAGCAAACTTTCCACACATGATCTGTTATTCATGAATCAAGGTATTTGAGAAATAACAACATTAAAAATAACAATATAAATGAATGTAAATGAGCAAGCTAGAGAGGAAGTAACAACACAGTTACTACAGTTACTGTGTAAATGAGCAAGCTAGAGAGGAAGTAACAACACAGTTACTAGCCATAAAACAACAATATAAATGAATGTAAATGAGCAAGCTAGAGAGGAAGTAACAACACAGTTACTAGCCATAAAACGCATGTTCAAAACACAACAAAGTATTTCTACCAGCCAATGATAAAAAATGGGGATTCAGGCGCCTAAGCGTTTTGTGTGCCTGGTCGCCTAGGCGCCCATCCAGAGACAAGGTGCCCTCGCCAAAATTGAAACCCCCCCCCCCCCCCGCCCCAAAAAAAAAAACAGGGGAATACTTAGGGCATGGTTTTAAGTCTTTGGGAGTTTTTAGGGCAATTTTAGAGCCCCAAACTCCTTGTGAAACAGATGAAAAAGTAATAGTACAATCACATAACAGATTTACGAATACAAGTCTCAAAGAGATTGTAAATTGTAGGACATTAAAATGCTTGAAATCCCAAATATCATTATAGGAAACTAGAAGTCTAGACTAGAAACGATACACAAAGTCAACAAGGAAAAATTGAAAAACAAATACATCAAGTCATCAACCAAACATGTAATTATATTGTAAAAGCAAAAAAAAGGTAAAAGAAAAAACACATGATTCGCAACATAATATGTTGTAGCAAAATAAAATCAAAACCCTCTTTCAAATATGATAATATTTTAAAAATATCAAAATCATATCGATGTCGGTGCAAACTTCGTCTATTGGGTCGTCAAAAGTCCTCAAAATCAACTACTAAATACTCTAAATCCCCCACAAACTATTGCCTTTTGTTTTGAGAAGAAATTGCAAAAATCAAAACTTTATCGATGTTTCAATGAATCACAAACGAGTAGTTTTTTGGGTAGTTTTTCTCACCCTAATAGCCATGGTTTTTGTTTTGGGGGTTTAGAATACCCCCCAAAACCCTTTCTCCCTTTTTAGAGGGGAAAAATAACATTTCTTTTACCCTTGCTGAGGGTTTTTTCGCCCTTCCGTAAACTGTGACTGGGCGGCGCCTAGGCGGGCACCCGAACTGTAGCGCCTAGGCGGCGCCTTGCCCACCTAGGCGGCGCCTTACCCGCCTAGGCAAGCACCCGGAGACAGGCACATAATTACACCGCCCAGACAAAGCCTAGCCATTTTTTGAAATTTTTCGCCTAGGCGGCTGCCTAGGGCGGCCAAATGTTCAAACACTGCTACCAACCATATTTTTGTTGCCATGCTTAGCAAGACATCATATCTGCAGATGAGTAACAATCTACATGGACCTATTTTTTTGGGTATATACAATCTACATGGACCTAAGTTGTCCCAAGATGTAATCAAAATTTTTGGATAGCCTTAAACTGACCATTGCTAAGAATTTTTCAAAACAGTTTGCATCACTAGAAACTATGTTTTCAAGCACAGCAATTTTCTTTTGAAATTAGTAATTCGGCTCATCCTACAAATCTTGAGAAGGATCTCAAGCAAAGCCTCTAGGACATATTAAAATAGTTATAGTACATATTTCTTCATGGTACAGCAAACGGAACAAAACACCAATGCATTAAGAAACACTGTGCCTATTGAGTAGATAATTTCAAAAATAAATGATAATAGAAAATCAGCCAAAAAAAAACAAAAATGCCAAGAAAAAAAAAGAAAAAGAATCCAGTACCTATCTCCAATCCCAAGGATATATGTTATAACAGAGTACCCAGCACAACTTTTTATAAATGTTTCGAGACAGCTGGCAGTTATTCCAAAAGGTCCATCTTCATCCGGGTGAAATCGCTGTAGATAGTTTACAATGCTACGATGTTCCGACAGGATCTGATAAACAGCTAAGAAATATCAACTTTCCCCACATGAAATTCATTTCATCAAAAGAACCACATTGTGCAGAATAATCAAGAAACGTGTGCTCAAATTCTGAGAAATATTCAGCAGTACATATGAGTACCAATCACTGGCCTAACAAAACTGATTTTTTTATCGATGAATAACTGACAAAACTGATTGACACTGTTGCTTAACCATTAGACTGAAATCATACTCTAAATACACCAACCGGTCAACCCCTAGGCAATCATAAACATCATACCTGTGCTAAAGAACTCGACGGTATAAATTCCAGCATGCCCTCATCATGTCCAGTTGCCAATACTCTATAAGGAGTTAAATGCAAATCAAGATTCTCCAATTTAAGTAGTCGATCCATGAGAGAGACCATTTGAATAACCTGCAAACAATACAAGTATTGAAAACAATAGGATCCAAGGAATCAAAAGTTCACATTTAAAATACAACTATTGAGAACAAAGGATCAAAGGAATCATAAGTCCACATTTCAAAGTCTCAAGACCCTCCCAAGATAAATTCAAGACATATAGTCAGCATTAACAATATTAAGATAGCCTTATTGCTTTGAAGTAGGAAATAGCAGAAAATTTTCATCTAAGTTCTCAATTTGGAATAATCATTTTGTGTGAAAAGTAGGTCAGTGACTTATATGAAGCATTTAACATAAGTTCATTCATAGTCGTGCCATGTCACTACAGGAATGGGGTACACACAAAGGTGATAAACTTAAACAATAACAAGGATCATTGACACTCTCAAAATATCTATAACTCCTGTACCGCCCCAGTGGATAATGGGCAGTATAACTAGACGCCACTAGAATGAAAGCATCAGGCTGCAGTGAAACATAGTACTGGATAGTAGTAGCTCTTCAATGCTAAATTTATAACTGTGGAAAATATAATTGAATGAGATATAATCCAAAACTTTCGAGCAAGTGGTTCTTAGCATATATTAAAAATAAAAACGTTAAAAATCTAATCATCTCATGTTTAGTTCAAGATTCACATCTTAGTATCCAGTAGCTACCAATTGGTCCTGCCGGATGTCATCCCCTTTCTTGAATATTACTTTGTATGTGCCACCAGTTGCAGTTCGGAATGTCAGACGCAGGGGATGCAGTTGACTCTTGAAAAGTGATGATTCTGCTGGTATGATCCCTGTGATGAGCACCTCGGGAGCTAAAGGAGATCTAATTGGCTGAAATTTGACAAGCCAGCAGTGAATTACAAAATGTGACTTGTTTTAAGCACAACACAAATGAAACATACCACTGATTTGTACAGAACAAAGGAAAATGTTAGTGAGATCTATTCAAAAGGCCAAAACCATTCACCATACAGAGAGACTAGAAAACATGTCAGGAAATACCTCTTCAAAATAGGTGAGTTCACTCATAAGACCAGAGAGCAGCTGCCTTAGTCTTTCTATTTTTTTCTGTGTTCCACCACGAACATTTCTCACATCTCTCATAATAGTACATAACTGAGCAGTTAACTCAGTCTGACGAACAAGACTTTGCCACAGCTTGAAGCCATCTTCATCACTATTTACACCTGCCACCAACTGTACAGAAATCGGATTTGATTGGGACATTTAAGCATATGAAAACTCAATACATATTTACAGTGATTATTTCTCCAGTATACTTTATGAAAATTCTCTCTCTCTCTCTCTCATATATATACTTATGGAGGTTGTAAAGTGTAAAATCGTAAATAAAACAGCTCTCTCTCTCATATATATACGTATGGAGGTTGTAAAGTGTAAAATCGTAAATAAAGCAGCTCTCTCTCTCTCATATATATACTTATGGAGGTTGTAAAGTGTAAAATCGTAAATAAAGCCGCATGTATGCATATGTAATTTGCAAATTTTGAAACAATAAAAAATATTTTATCAATAAAAAATCTATTGTTATTAGTTATCTTGATGAGCATCATCGTAACCTTTTCTTATTGTATTGTGTAGGATTACTTTTGTGTAGCGAACCCGAATATTTGGGGCTCCGATGATGATGATTTCGTTGGGATCATTAGTACCTAGATTACAACTCAAATGAATGTAAAATAATATTGATTAGTTTTTTCTTTGATAATAATGATTAGTTAATAAATATTTTGTTAGACATCTTTTTGTGCCCATCTTTCACTATATTTTTTGGGATTATTCATTTTTTAAATTTTTAATGGAATTTCCTTTTTAAAAATATTTCTATTTATTGATTAAATAAATTGTATGGGATAAGCTCCCGAACCAGGGGCTTCGTGATGATCCCACAGACCTGCACCAACTCTTCCTCTCACTTCAACAACTATGAGAAGGACAAAATAAACAAAAGAACAACATGTTAGTCGAGGTGCTAAGATTGTCCAAGTTGAGCCATGTAGAAAGTTGAACACTAGGATAATGGGATCCATGTTGTTTCCAAGTTGTGGGGCTAAATGGGTGTCTAATAATAATCGTAGATTTCCCTTCTATAGGCCATCTAGAAGAACAAATCCAACCCAAGGCCTCCTAGTTCTCTTGGCTGGCTTAGCAAGACAGGCTTCTTATGATACAATACAATGAGCCAAACAGTTTTGTGGAGGTTCAACACTCATGTAACAGTCAGCCAAAGTATACAAAGCCTCATAGCAAACTGGTTCAGAAAGAAATTTACAAACGAGTACCTTGATAAGATTTGGAAAGTCTCTCTCCCCAACATAATATAGGTCACTTGACAAGAAAGAAATCAGAGGACGAACGAGAACCATAATCAATCCTTTAAAATGGTTGTAAGGGAAACAACTTGGAAGATTGAAAATAGTAACCCGGATATGATACCACCTCCAACAAATGAAATGAAAATATCATCAATAGAAGATGGTTCTTGGCAACTCCACTATAAGTGCATTGTGATATGTGGTAAGGATATCATGTACATAGAGAGCTACCAAGAGACAACTTCATGTCTTTCCCTGTCATTATTACTGCTTGTACACTGTTGATACATGGATAAAATGGATAGCTTACCTGCTCAAACCCTCCGCTAGCTTAGCAAAAACAGAAAAACAAAAAACAAAAAAATAGGTTAAGCCCTAATTCACCATTCAATTTGTGTAGTCAAAACCCTGCATGGCCTGTTGCTTCTGAGCATAACTTGAGAATATATCCAAATTTGAAAACCTAAATCAGCCATCCACTCATGGAAGAAGCCCCGTGATCAAGAGTATCAGCAACATAGGGAAGTCAGGGAAGAGTTTAGGTAGTTTGCATACTTTATACACACAAAATGCTACACAGTTTTGATTATAAAAAACAACATGAAACTCAACACCCCATTATAATCAGGAAAAAAGGAAAAGATAAAATTGAGTTCCATAACACTTAAACATGCAATCTCTACACGGCACTAATCAGACATGTTTCTGCTCTGTTAGGCCCCCATTCTTCAGAGGATTAGTCCCCACATATCAATCATCAAACTCAAACTACATGGCATCAACAATACAATGAGCACACATTATATTATTGAACAATCAAGAAAAAAATGTAGCACCTGGCAATGGGCTCAGCATATATTATAATGAAAACTACTGTTAGTTTAGGATATGAAGCCTAATGGTGCACATTAACTTATGACATACGTCACTATGTCATTGCTTTTCTCTCAAGGAGTTGCTCACTGTGCAATTTCTAACCATGTCTGTCTTATAGTGCTAATTATCTAATGGGTGAAACCGCATTACCAACTAAAAGAACCAGTTTGTATCGAGAAAATTAAAGACACATGATTTAATTACAAAAACAATATAAAAGCTGCAGTACATGCACCAAGTTTTGCACTAAGACAAAACCTAAAACAAGAAAATAGTAGGAGAACAGGCCAGAAGAAACACTTACTTTCATCATACTGTCTTCCAGAATTTCATAGGTACAATAGAAACGCTTTGCATAAGCAGGATCATGGAGTTCCACAGCCACGTACCATCGGAGGAAGCTGGCCAGCTCAATATTGCAAAGAGCTGTCACATTCCACGAAAAGGCATTGCATATGAAATGAGTTTGTCAAAAGAATAAATGAAAGCGATTGGATTTGAGCATCAAATACGTATCTATTTATTCGTTTCTTGATAATTAACTGATCATGGAAGTATCAGAGAAATGTGTACAATATAGATGTGCGTATGTGATGTGATAGAGGATAGATAAGCGGATCGGCTATGAAAGAAATATTTTGGCAATGGCATCTTGAGGCCTCTGCGAAAGAACTCTTTCGCATGTGTAATAGGCCTCCATGCATGCAGACACACACACACACATACATACGTATCTGGGTGCATGTGTGTTTAAAAGTGGTTACTCCCAGAACAGTTACAGACAGTGTAAGATAAAGATTTTATGGGGATACTGGCATAGCAAGGGAAGCCGAAAAAACTAAAAAATTTTCAAAGCAAGCATGGGGTATGGCTCATAGAAGCAGCTTTTGTATGTATCATACAGCATCAAGCATCAGCTTCAAGAAAAAAACAGAGAAGTGCGACAGGGTAAATTTACATACACCGTTGAACAAGAAAAAGCGAAAGGCGAGATTTATCAGATCGCTCGAACCGGAGAGCTTGTACTAATTGAAGTAAGTAACATTTGAGCTCTTCATCATCAGCTCTTTCAAGAACACTCACTGCATACGCCCTAACCTGTTCAAAGTAGAATTTGCTATAAGATACTAAGAGCCAAAATCCAGAGGCAGAACATCAACATACAAGGAAGAGAGAAGACTATTTATACCCTCCAAGCAAATGGTGCCAACTGAATTTAAAGTCTTTCCAGAATGGAACACAATATCCATTCATGCATATGTCACATTACATGCACTAAAGAAGGACAGGAGTGCACCCAAAGCATCAATCACCACAAGGCACATGGGAAAAGGACACTTGTGCATGGAGAAAGGGCATAGAATAATCAAATTCGTTGAGTGATATTACCAACCTACCTACCCTTCATTGGTTACTTCTGAATTTTCCATAACAGGCTTGCTCAGATTCTTTTATGTGAAGAACACAGATTCTTTTACGTGAAGCAACACAAAAATTGTGCGGGCTGGCACAAGTAAATGAGATTCTGTATAATGGCTAGATAAAATCAGAATACAATACTGCTACACATAAGGTCCATTTGGATAAGCCACTAGGTAGTGATTCAACTGCAATACAGCAACAACTTTTCTCCATCTAATCACAGCCCTTTCTCATACTTCCTTGCCCTCTTGCAGTATAATTCTATCATCTCTAAACTAGGTATATACTATTCTCAATCCACGTAAGTTTATTATCAAGAAGGGAAAAGTGAAATATAGCAACCCACGCTACTCTAGAAAGCCATATAACAAAAGCAGCTTGGGACAGCCCCTGTGCAAACCAACCACCAAAAACACCGATTTTTGTTTGGGACAGAAATGGCACAAAGAAGATAAATATGCAGAACACAGATTGCTCACCAACCAAGATGAAGAAAGGCCGATTTTTCACGGCTAATGTACCCTTAGTACGCAAAACAGGGCTGAAGAGAAGTTAGTTACATTTAACACTGTTAAAAACAAGTGTCAAACTAGCATGATAATGAGAGAGATAAAACAGTTACATCTGGGAGACCTAAGAACCATGTAATGGGAAAGATGCAACAATTGCTTGGCTTGTGATATGAAAGAAACAAGCACAATATTTTGTTTTAAGTCACAAAGAGTACACCTGTGAGACCTCAAACTAAAATATTTTGTTTTAAGTCACAAAGAGTACACCTGTGAGACATCAAACTAACATTTGGGAAGCTTCGACACAGAAAACCTCTTGGAAACTGGATGCTATACATGCAATCATCAAAGATAAAGCACCTATTGATGTAAACTTCTGTAATGCAAAGTCAAAAAGTTGAATCCAATCAAATACGGACAGCGAGAGAAGAAGCTGTTGCGGTTGAAAAAATTATCAAAAAACAGAAATGATGAACTTGTGGCACATTAAATTGCCAACCCCATTCTAAAAGGAGGAAAAATGCACAAAACATTATGAAACAACATGCATTGCAAAATATTATTGAAATTATCTATTACATTAAAGAGAGAAAAAGTGATAGGCACTTGACGCTTTTTGTCTGTCCATGCAATAGAAGAGAATACTTATACAGTTGTAGAATATACAGGCATAAAAATCTAATAAGCATGCATGGGAATAAAATCTTGAAAAACACTATTTCAAAAGCTTCAGATATGCAGATACAAACTGTCCCTTTTGGGAACATATTCAAATGATACTTCGTACACATAACATTATAGGAGGAGCTTTATCATTCTTTTAAGGATGCACATTGAAACTAGGTTAACATAGAAATATCCACCTCTTGCTGTGTTCCGCATTGTGTCAAGACAGTGATTCAAAAACATGAACACACGTGTACGGGCTCTTGGGGACCACATGTTTGAACATCTCGTAAGGAACATAGACATCATCATCGTCAAAGCCTTTTCCTAACAAATTGGCTACAAGAATCCTGGTAAGCCATTCTACTCTATTAAGGGTCATACCTTCAGTGAGGCCATAAGTCCCCGTATTTTTTGTGACTACTTCCAACCATGTCTTTTTGGGCTTACCCCTTGCCCTTTTCGAGCCTTCCACTTTAACTAACTCACACCCACTAATAAGTGTTGTACTGGGTCTGCACCACACATGACCAGCCCACCTAAATCTATTCTCTCTATCATCTTATCGTACATTGGTGCCACACCTAGATTTCCAGGAATGCATTCATTTCGAATTCGACCCCTTCTTGTCTTGTCACTCAGCCCCTAAGGAACACAGACACAAACACTAAATTGCAGGGGGGCATGCTCAACTCCCATTTTCCTTCCACACATAAACAAAGCCAACTAGAATCACATAATAATTAACACACTAATCACATTCATTACTGATGAGAAGTTCAAATAGAAAGGAACCTGGAAATTCAACAAAATATTTAAAAAATTATCACCTACTTCTTCGCTTTCAAAAACAGGTGATAAAAGCTCTAATGCATCACTTGTGTCAATGGTATCCCAGCGACCCAATAAATCTATTGCTTGCTTGGCTTCCTGCAAACCCATAATCATGGTGAAAGTTAACAACATTGATATGCTCTTTGTAGAGTACAAGCCAACTAATTTCCCCGAATGCAAGGATATACAGCATGAAAGGATCAAACCAAGTATAATGAAAATGCAATTATGATGCTCCTTTATAAAATACAATTATGCAAGCCAACTGAATTCATGAAATGCAAGGACACAGCCATGAAAGGATCAAACCAAATACCAATAAATTTTAGTATAATAGTATAAGAACAGATTCTTAATTCCTAAATGAGCAGAGCACTCATCGCACAAGAATCATATAATCACGAAACACGAATATTAAGCATTTTCTGCAAGGTATAGAGGATAGGAGTCCCATAGGGGCACAAGGGCAGAAATTTCCCATGGATGATAAGGGCATAAACTTTTTTTGGGTCTAACTGGTAAATCCAAACATGAAGAATCCAAAAATCAAGGTAAATATCTGCGAATAGAAGATTATTCTGACAGCACACTGAAACAACACAGAGACATTCTCTAAACTGTTATACGCTCCTCATCCAAATGAAGGAGAGGGAGGACCTTTTTCTTCCACAGGTTGGGCACTGCAAACCCTGTAACCAAGTATATCAAATGAACAAACACATCATGGATGAAAGGAGAGGATGTCAGACTCAAAAGGCATGTCATGACTGAAGACTTTGCATTTGCAGTGGGTTTTTAAGTTGTTCCGTTTTATTAATATTTTTAGGAGACAAAAAGTGTGATCATTTAATATTTTGGGTCTTTTTCTTATTTCTTAGGACATTTTACTTCTTCTTTTTTAGAAAATTGAGGGGCAAAGTTGGAAATTCAATATTGAATAGGATTTAATAGTGATTGATGAAGCACTTAGGGTTTGAAGGTTTTTCCATCAACATATTAAGTGCTGGATGGCATAGATTGAGGATATTAATTCTTTTTCTTCTTTTTTTTTTGTTAAATCTTGAGAAAAATTTCTTTTTGGGCTGGAACCCCATGCAGACCCACAAAGATGGTATTTTTTTTCACCTTTCTTTGTCTTTCATTATTTTTGGTTTCTTTTATTTCCTCTTTTTTTTCTTTTCTTACATCAATTGGTAATTAGATGCTTCAAAGATCCATTGAACACACTGCCACCACAGCATGTGCTAGCAATCGAGGACATTCTGCCACAAATCATGGAGGTTGTCAATAAACAAATTAAAGCGAGCATAAATAAAGCCATGGAAGACATACGAGTCCAGAGAGGCAAAATTCAAGAAAGGATATATGAACTTCGAGGAGAGAGAGGTGAAATAAATGTGGCTGCAATGATTAGAAATTACTGATCGCAAAGACGGTGTTCATAATCTAGTATATGCAGTACCAAATCTCTAGTGAGCTCTACGAACAAGTCGGAGGCCAAAACATACATAATAAGAAAATTTTGGGGCAAGAGCCACAACTTACGGAGCACACCCACGACATCTCGGTATCAAAGTTGATCTCCTCAAGGTTCAAGGTAAGCTCCATATCTAGGGTTTTATTGACTGGTTGAGTTAGAAAAAATCCTTCAATGGAATGAAATGCTTGAAGAGCACGAAAGAGGAATCAACATTATGTTTGATATCCCCGACTTCCACTTCAATTTGAAGACTAAGGGGGCGAGAGAGAACAAATCTAAGCCATCCATCCCACAAATCAGCCATCATGATTTTCGAAGGATTATTAAGAACCTCACCAACTTATAATTTGACCAACGTCCAACTTCGATTTAAATTAGAATTATAACCAATCCAAAACTTCCTAATATCTTTCCAAAATCTGTTGGAAGTCCAAATAATTAGAGTTTTGGTGAATCCAAACTCCTAATTAGAACAATTTTTTAATATTTAAAAGATTCCCCTAAAACAAACTTCAACAAAAAAGAAATGTCACATAAATAAAAGAACGAGGGTGTGCCACCCAAGAGAGATTAAGTGATGCCCATACTGGCCCTCATCCCACTCATGGGTGGCACACATGTGGGGCAAGAATCTGAGCCCCACATGTGCCCTTCCAAATTTCAAAAATTATGAAAATGCCCTTTTGAAGAAATTTACAGCAGAAATAAAATTTTAAAATTATGAAAAAATTGTAAAAAAATCATGAAAACATTAGTAATACCAAAAAAAAAAAAATTGAGATTGTTAACTTTTGTATTGATTGGGAGAAAGTACAGTGAAGAACGGAGGCCCCTATAAAGCTGGGGCTCTACACGAGAACATCATGGGTTCCAAAACATGTGTCCCTCTAAAAGGGTCATTAAGCAAGGTAAAACATGTCCAATGAAGAAAAGATAAAAGACTAGGAATGACTGCAGAATTCAGGATCCAACAGATGCAATGGTTGTTGATGAGGCTCGGTCTTTGGCAAGTGCATCAGCTTCGGAGTTGGCTTCACTCTGGGTATGACTCCATGAGATTTGTAAAGCTGAGCAGCGAAAAAATATTTCATCAAAGAGGTATTGCAATCTCCAGGGACAGGGTACCGCTCTTGAGGCCCACTCGATAACGCTGTGGTTGTCCTCTTCGACTTTGAGGGAGGGTTTCCAAGTTGGGTCAAGAGCTCTTAAGCCTTTCAGTGGTGGCCCGATAAGTTTGGAGTTGAAATACACAATGTTCCCCCTGAGTCACGAAATAAACCACCTACGCCTGACGGGCCCGGGTTGCCCAAAGCGCACCCATCAAAATTTCGTTTGATTTGATCTAGATTGGGGGGTCGCCAGAAGGAGGATTTGGAAGTTCTTGAGGGGCAGAGGGAGAGAAGGGTCTGCCAGCTTTGTTGGAAATCCAAGGTAGAGACATGGTCAAAGAGTTTGTTGTTCTTGGGCCAGCAAATAATGGAAGCTCTGAGGGAGTCAAAGCGGAAGTCAAGTGATTTGCTCTTGTCGTGAAAGATTCTACAGTTCCTTTCGATCCATAGGGTTCACAGAAGGCCAGAAACCATTATAGTAGCCCTGGTTTGGGCCAAGGGGGGAGAACAGCTGCTGGAAGGTCTGGGGGGTAGATTGGGGGGTTACCCACTGCCATCCAAAGAGGCGCAGGATTTCCGCCCAAAGAGCTTTAGCAATGGCGAAATGGATGAAGGGATGCAGGTTTGTTTCCTCCTCGTTGAGACACAAAACACGTCGATTAGGGAGTTGAAAGCCTCTTCCTTGAAGCTGGTCCACAGTTTGGGCTCTTTTCGAGCATGCTAACCACGTAAACCATCTTACTTTGAGGGGAGAGAGATTTGACCAAGCCGGGCAGCAACAGAAGGGAAGAGAGGGATGGCCTGGGCTTGAAGATTTTGGTAGAAGGATGAGACTGAGAAGATTCCCAAAGGAGTGGGAGTCCAGACAAGGGTATCATGGCCCTGGTTAGGAAAGAATAGAGGGTGAAGCAGGGATGAGAGCAATGAAATCGATCTCCTCGTCTTCGGAAACTGGGGCTCCATACTCTAGTCCCTCCTATGGTGTCAAAAGATTCCACAACAGTCGCCTCTCGGTTTGAGGCCAAGAGGTATTTGAGGCCAAGAGGTAGAGGTTATGAAATCTTTCCAAAAGCAAAGACTGCCCTATCCAGAATGGGGACAGGGGGTCTCCCTGCCTCAGCCCCCGAGAGGAACTGAACAAGCCTTTATGAGATCCGTTAATGAGGATTGAAAAGAGCTGAAGATACACACCCCATTATCCACCTGTGCCACAAGAGGCCAAAGTCCATTATGTGCTGCGTCTCGTCTAGAAAGGACCAATCTATATGGTCGTATGCCTTTTCCCAGTCTAGCTTTATGACTACACCTGGGAGTTTAGCCTAGTGATAAGAGTGGAGAAACTAATGGGCCACAAGAGCTCCGTCGAGTATTTGTCGGTCCTTGACGAAGCCCATGCTTAACACATGCAAGTCGGACGGGAAGTGGTGTTTCCAGTGGCGGACGAGTGAGTAACGCGCAAGAACCTACCCATGGGAGGGGAACAACAACTGGAAACGGCTGCTAATACCCCGTAGGCTGAAGAGCAAAAGGAGGAATCCGCCCAAGGAGGGGCTCACGTTTGATTAGCTAGTTGGTGAGGCAATAGCTTACCAAGGCGATGATCAACCACACTGGGACTGAGACACGGCCCAGACTCCTACGGGAGGTAGCAGTGGGGAATTTTCCACAATGGCCGAAAGCCTGACGGAGCAATGCCGTGTGAAGGTAGAAGGCCCACGGGTCGTGAACTTCTTGTCCCGGAGAAGAAGCAATGATGGTATCCGAGGAATAAGCATCGGCTAACTCTGTGCCAGCAGCCGTGGTAAGACAGAGGATGCAAGCGTTATCTGGAATGATTGGGCGTAAAGCGTCTGTAGGTGGCTTTTCAAGTCCGTCGTCAAATCCCAGGGCTCAACCCTGGACAGGCGATGGAAACTACCAAGCTGGAGTACGGTAGGGGAGCAAAGGGAATTTCCCTAGGTGGGAGAGATAACCCAATGAGGACCTCCTTGAGCCTGGTGGCCAGAACCTTGGATAGTAGCTTGTAGGAGGAATTAACCAGGCCAATTGGAAGGAAGTCTCAGAGTTCTTTAGGCCCATCAATCTTGGGGATTAAGGCCAGGAATGGGGCATTCATTGCCCTATGGGTAACACCACTAGAGTGGAACTCGATGATGAAGGCAAGGATATCGGCCTTAAGGGTGTCCTAAAAAGAATGGAAGAAAGCCACCGGAAACTGTTCAGGCCGTGGGCCCGGTCCTGACCTAAGTCTTTGACTGCTTTGAGGATCTCGTCCTCAGTAAAGCGACGCTCTAGCCATCTGGTTTGAGCCAGAGGGATGGTCCGAAAGGAAACGGTGGCCATTGAAAGGCGATGGCCTGTGGGCTGGGAGAATATAGAATAAAGAAGTCAATAATGAACTCTTCTACTAGGGAGGCTGGTCGATGGTAAGGTTTTCTATTTTGATATGAGTGATGGTATTGTCCCTACTTCAGCAGTTTGTAATCTTGTGGAAAAATCCAGTATTG